GAGAAGATACTTGGATAAAAGAAGAAAATATGGTGTAGTAGAAAACTTAAGAGGGATAGTACCAAGAAACCAATCTAATAAGAAAAAAAGTTGAATTAGGAGTGTAGACTAACATTTTGAGGAATTTAAATCAGAGAATTTACTGACTCAAGTGTTTGATTAAACTTATCAAAAGCAATGAATTCTTCTCTTATAAATGAAGCCTCCTGGTAGAATGATCTGACCACATACCAAGCAGAGAGCATCATGGCCAGTGTTTGGTCATGTCACCACGACTTCTAATTTTAGCTCCTAAAAACCCTGAAGCCAATTTTTTCTCCCTCTTCTTTATTCCTACAGTTCTGAATCATGGAAAATATAAAATTTTGAATTGATCCATGCCTGACAACCAAGAAGTAGATGAACATGTTTTTCATCTTACTTCTGTAAGAGAGGAAAACTTTATCCCTCTTCAGTTCTTGTCTGGCCTTGTGAATTAAACTGCAAAAGACAGATTGACAGGAGGAAAGGCTACAAATTTTCTATTAAATTTTATGTGCCTGGGCCTCCATAGAAAAGAAGTGAAAACCCAAAGAAGCAGTAGTCTTGGAGACTTAAATATCATTTTAACAAAGGGAATAAATTGTTAAGAAATGACTAACAAAAGAGAAGGAGTTTGGGCTCCTAGGAGCAATAAATTGTGGGAAGGTAAATATATGGGGAAGATAAGGTTATTTAGTAAGGTTTTTTATGCAGACTCATTTCAGTGCCTTCTCCATCTATGGTGATAAAAGTTGTTCTTTCCATCCTGGTACCAGAGAGAACACCTTCACAAGGAAATTTATGCTCTACTTGCAGATAGGGGCAAATAGGGGAAGATAGAGAACTTGTCCTGCATCTGCTTTTACTTAACTACTCCAGCTCAAAATAATCAACATGCCAAAGTAGCATATTTTGGTAGCATATTCTGATCCCCATTAACCTTTTTCTGTCCTTTTTTTTTTTCCAAACGGAATCCCGCTCTGTTGCCCTGTCTAGAGTACGTGGTGTCACCTAGCTCACAGCAACCTCAAACTCTTGGGCTCCAGCAATCCTTCTGCCTCAGCCTCCCTAGTAGCTAGGACTGCCACTGGGTACCAGTACCTCCTAGGTGCCACCACACCTGGCTAATTTTTCTATTTTCAGTAGAGACGGGTCTCGCTCTTGCTCAGGCTGGTCTGGAACTCTGAGCTCAAGCAATCCTCCCTCCTTGCCTCTCTGAGTGCTAGGATTACAGGTGTGAGCACTGCGCCCGGCCCCCTTTAACCATTTTTCCATATCTAAGATCTTCCAGGTTATTAAACAATTTTAAAATCTATGTTTCTTCTTAAAGATGTTCTTCAATCACCATCTCCTGTCCTTCCATGTCTATCTTGGTAATTGTTTTCTAAGCCTTTTTTGCAGCTAACACCTTAAAATGTCTTTCATTTCATCCTCATGCAGTTCTTCTGTTTGTTAGATCCATGTTTCCTTTTCCTGCCTGACATTCCAAGCCGTCCAAGAAGATAAATAGAAACTTTCTGAGTCATTAAAGGTGTTATTTTTGTCTTCATTCATGAATAACAGTTTGGCTGCCTATAGAATTTAGGTTCAAAATAATTTTCCTTGAAAATTAGAAGTCTGCTCCTCTGTTTTCTAGCATCGATATTATGAATGAAAAGTGTGATGACAATCTGATGCTTTTCTTTTTTGTAAGGTATCCTGTTCATTCACTCTGCAAGGTATATAGTAGGAATTTTAAATTTCAACAGAATATTTCTTGACACATGGTATTTTCCATCTAAAAAGAGTTTTTCTAGTTCATGAAAATTTTCTTATACTCTATTTTTGTTTTGTTTTTGTTTTTTCCCTTTTTGACTTTGTTCTCATATTTTGAATAAGTTACATACTAATACCTTTCTAGGTCTATCCTATATCTAAGGTCTTTCTTATATTTTCCCTTCTGTCATTCTTTACATCTATTTCTTCAACTTTATCATCCACATTACTAATTTAGTTTTCAGCCATAGCAATTATTCAGTTCCATTAATTTTACAATTTATTTAGAGAATCGTGTGTACTTCTCAAAACTTCATTTATGTTCTCTGCTGCTCTTTTCCATAGTAGCCTATTCTTGTTACAAATGCACTATCCCTCAGATTTTCCAAGGGACTAATCAACTGTTTGATCTTTCTTTTGTCTGTTTCTCCACAGTTGCTTTCTCAACATCTGGTATTTTTCTTTTACCAAATATTTGATAATCCTGGTTGATTAGTAATAATTTTTAATAAAGAGCATATAGTCGGGAGGATGGGATGAGTATATTCACACTTAATGGGCACGGTGTGCACTGTCTGGGGGATGGGCACGCTTGAAACTCTGACTCAGGCAGGGCAAAGGCAATTTATGTAACATAAACATTTGTACCCCATAATATTTTGCAATTTAAAAAATGGTTGATTAGGTCATTGGCAAAGTTAGTTAGAAAAATCATTTACCCTTAGGCCCATCCTGACTGGTGGACTGACCCCACACTTTCTGTGTGCCTGGGTCACAGACAGGCTTCTTTTAGGACGTGACAGTTAGGATGGATGGCCTGGGAGGAGGAAGGTCTCAGGTCTGTGCTCTCCCAGGTGAACAGGCTGGAGCAAAGTAGGCAAGGCCGACCGGGATGCTAAGATGTAGGCAGTGGCTGTAACTGAGACCTGGGATAGTGCGAGGGTGGAGAAAGAAAATGTGGTCCAACACGCATTGATGAGGCTGCCTTGTGAGCCCGGAGGAGCTTCTAGAGATTTGAGAGACACAGAAGTAGGGAAGTGGCACCAAGAACGTGTGCTGCGGGAAGCAGACAAGATCCTCCGCGGGCAGGACCCAGAGCCACGACGGGACTGGCAAGGGCAGGGCTGGCTGTGGCCCAGAGAGGATGGGCTCCTGGGTAGCTACGAGTGGTGGGAGGTGGGTTCAGGCATAGGGCAAGGAGAGCCTGTGGTCAGAATCTGGAAGAGGATATGGCCTAGGGCTCAGGGACAAGGATGAGCTCAGCCAGTCCACTTACTCGAGTGAAGAGGCAGATTCCTAGAGACTAGAGCCGCTGAACTTCCTCCTGCTAGTGTTCACACTGGTTCTGGATGAAACTGATCAAGAACAAGGGGACTCACCTGGGAAAGGTGAGGACAAGAGAGGGGAGGGAAGTAGGCGCTAGGAACCAGGTATAACCCAACACCTTCACTTGATCTCAAGGGGCGCTTTTTATTTCTCAGCATTTATGACAAGCCAATATACCTGAAATCCTAAGCAAAATTATAAAGCTTAGTTTCCCCTACCACCTCTACCCTCTCCCAACTACACAGGACAAACCATGGGACAAATACCCCTGAGCACAGGGAGACCTTGTGTCCATCCCTGGAACTTGTTTTGAGCACTTTCTGTGTGACAGGCACTGTGCATGAATTGAGACTCTTCCGAGGGGTAACACCAGCTTTGGCCTTCGACAGTCTGTCCAGTGGGGAATCAAGCCTACAAACTGGTGGCTTCCGTCAGCGTGGGAAGGATTGCGCTAGAGGTGGTGCTGGGCTGCATGCCTCTGCGGGCAGCCCTGTCCAATACGAGTGGAGCTGGGTAGCAGGAGGAGGGCGAGGCAAAGTGGGAGGGGGCTTGGAAGAGAGCCACCAGCCACACATGTGCAGGAGCCACAAGTACTCCACTGCCTCTGGGGCATGATCCCAGCAAGTGTAAGGCGGTCAGAGACGTGCGTTTTGAAGTCTGAGAGCCCTGGGTTCAAATCCTTTCCTCTGCCCCAGGCCATTTGTGTGACCTTGTGTGTGTTACTTAACCTCTGGAAACTTCAGTTTTCTCCTCTGATCCCTGGAGAAATCCAGAAAAAGGAAGTGCTAGAGATACCTTTATTACTTAGTGAAAAGTCCACATTCCTAAAAAGATGGGATAGAAGAATAAAGGACAATTCAAGAAGAAGGTATATGCCACAGTAGTTATTAAATTTGCTTAACATTTATTACTTCTTTCAGGGTTAGTAAGTTGTAAGCGTCATTAGGTGCAGGCACAAAGAACTGGAATTGATTAGGCTTGACAGTAGGAATGGATCAAACTATTTTCTTGTTCGAAGTTTTCTGCAAAAGTGGTAGTTATTTTCTTTGCCCTTGTACAGATATATTTAGCAGGGCCTACCATATAGGTCTCCCCTGACAAATTCCAAGGACATCCACTGTCCCCTTACATAACAAGGTCCAATCAGTTATCAGTTGGCCATGCTAGTGGTTAATGGATGAGGAGACCATCTCCACAATCTCCCCAAAGGTAAGAAATTATGGTTATTCATTTCCATTTGGCTTTGTAGATTTTTTTTTTTTTACCATATACTTGCAGATGAAAATATCTGATTATCTGGCAGTTCCCAAGAATTCAATCAAGATGATGAAAAAAAATATTATAAAGGCCGGGCACGGTGGTGCACACCTGTAATCCTAGCACTCTGGAAGGCCAAGGCGGGCAGATTGCTCAAGGTAAGGAGTTCGAAACCAGCCTGAGCGAGACCCCGTCTCTACTATAAATAGAAAGAAATTAATTGGCCAACTAATATATATAGAAAAAATTAGCCTGGCATGGTGGCGCATGCCTGTAGTCCCAGCTACTCGGGAGGCTGAGGCAGTAGATTGCTTGAGCCAGGAGTTTGAGGTTGCTGTGAGCTAGGTTGACGCCAAGGCACTACTCTAGCCTGGGCCACAAAGTGAGACCCTGTGTCAAAAAAAAGATATATATTATAAAGATATACTTGGGAGAACCTAGCAATTGTACCTCTGGGAACTTCTCCTCCCACACGCCACTCCTAGATACTGGCTTCCCTGTTCCTCTTTGAAAATTCCAGGCATGTTCCTGCTTCTCAGCCTTTGCTCTTGTTGCTCATGCCACCTGCAATGCTCTTCCTCACACAATGGCTTGGCTCTCTCCTTCCCAC